CAAACCTCAAACCAGTGCGTTTCCTTGGCTGCATTCTGCTCCAGACACCAGCCCAAACAGCCAATGAATGTTGGCCGTCAAGGTTGCGAATGCATTGGCTATTTAGCATCTGGCTTGAGAGGGGACGTTGCATGCTTCCCTGAGGACATAGATTGGAGCGCCGAATGAACCTCAGTTGAGTTGGCGCCAGCCGCGGTTGTTAGTCGAGTAGAACAACAATACAGTGGATTCATCAAAAGCGTTGAGGTGATGCGCAATGCACCACCCCACCAATGGGTATCATTGGCTGCGCAGACACCAGCCCATGTAGTCACTGGGATCGCCTGCTCATTAACACCACCACCACCACCCGCCTTGCCCATGCGAGCATTCAGACGCCCGTATTTCTACTAGCCCACTCACCTGTAGCGGTCATCACAACACAACTTGGCTGACCTGTCTAGTAAACGGTTGTGCCTTCTCCCCTCCTGTCTTCTTTACCTTCGTGGGAACACAGGGTACCGTATTTGGCCTAGATTGTCGGCGTGGCCCCGGCGTGGCTCTAGACAACATCCCAATAGCCAATGAATGTCGGTCGTCAAGGTTACAAATCCCGCTGTTCATTCCTTCTCTGGTAGACATTGGTGGCACTGCACTAATGCTCTGTCCCCAATTGACGCGTTCAAGGCGTCTTTATTGATTACTTGGAGGCTAATTTGTCACCCCCCGGGTGTGGTTTGTTTTCGGTGAAAAAAGCGTTTATAAACACACACACATGTGGTGTTTCCCGGTGCCCTGCCCTAATTGTGTGGTTCAAATCGATATTGTGCGGTTACCGCTATCACCCTTTTTTGGTTCTTAGAATGAGATCAGTGATCACACTCGCGGTGTGTGAATTCGCGCTATTGGCTAGGTGAATCAGCCTGTAACCCATGCATTCTCCCGTGTGTTGGGTATTTGAAAGCGACTACGTGAGTTGGAAGGTGGCCAAATCTATTTTAGACAAAAACACCACTTCTGTACGGCAGGAGGCGGCAGGAGTGACACACTAATTACTGAACAGCGATGATTCGCCAAGATGTCTAGACACGCGTCGACAGACGCGATGGACGTGATTTGACACAACCCCACCCTAAGGTTATTGTAGAAGACACGTCTAGATTGACGTCACTTCATGTGTGAGAGTACGTGAGTTCATCTCGATGACTGAACTTTATTGATTATCGATTGGTGTCGTGTTGTACCATTGGTCGGTATTTGCAGTGCTTAAAAGAAGACGGTTAACCGTGAATGTCTTTCTTGTCATTGGCCAATCGGAAAGGAGGCAGTTCTAATGGTCAACCAATAGGAATGTAGAATCATCCGTGATTCTCCAAGGTACGCGAATCATCCATAAGTAGTCACTGATTTTTCATGTGCGTAGTGACATGGGTACGAAAAACGTCTTTCTAATAAATCAACCGAAATTCTGATTGGTTATGTGACGTGGTCTTCACAACTCTCATTGGCTAAGTGAGTGACTTTAGCCCCAGTCCAATTGGATAGAAACAAGCTCTGACGACAATCTCCAACGTTCCACGGAGGCACAAAACAAAGATCTTAACTGTTGACATGCGATGTGCTCAATATGGATCGATACGAGGTCCTACCGAGGTGCGTCTGTCATGTCAGACTTGTGTGAGCAGCGTCTACCCAAACGACCACACCCTAGCGGACTCAGGGCGTGACCCCCGTGTCTCACGAGTGACTTAAAACGCGCGCGCGTTCGCACATGCAACAGCAGCTTGTCAAGTGGCGATTTGCACGTCGACGACGATGACGACAACGTCGAGGTGCACATGTAACTGCACTTGATTGAGTTCAACTATGCGTAGTTCTGTGTTGTGGTACACTACTGATGCTGCAAATTCAAATACAAATTTACCACCATTTAGCTGAACCAATCGGAAGCCTCAACGAAATTGTAGTTCTTGGACCACAACTCAATCGGGTTCAGCTATGCGTAGTTCTGATGCCGCAAATTCAAATACAAATTTACCGCCATTTAGCTGAACCAATCGGAAGCCTCAACGAAATGGTAGTTCTTGGACAACAACTAAATCGGGTTTAGCTATGCGTAGTTCTGATGCCGCAAAGTCAAATACAAATTTACGGCCATTTATCTGAACCAATCAAAAGCCTGAGATGTTGGGAACCCGGTCACACATGGGTTCATGCGGGTCACGGGGTCAGTTCTAGTTGACACGAGACAACGATCAACTCTTAGAGGCTAAAAATGCTAGAAGTTGTGTGGGATAATGAAAAGACAATCGTGTGAAGCATTGAGCCACTCTAATTGGTTGCAGTTATTTAAATGCGTCAAGAAACGACAGTATCCTAAAAATTGATTGGTTATGGTGACTTAGGATCCCCAGCTGACCAGTAGAGCAATTTCTTGACAGATGACTTCGACGGGTATTCACTGCCACGCCTACCTCATCAACCCTCAAAAAATGTATTTCTTGAATAACCACTCAAAAGGTTCACGGAGGTAGTTTCTGTATAACAACGCAGTGAGAAATATGACCTGGGCGCAGGAAAGAGAATAAAGCCGAATCTGCTGGTGTTTGTGCCATAAGTCTTGCGCCGCTGCTCCACAAATGTTTAATTTACCGCCTACTTATTTAACATGAGTAGACATTTTATTTTAGGAAACAGTCTACACCCTGTACACTGATGCGGCAATTGACGACGTAGCAGATTTGCTTCTACAGATCTTCGTCACAGACAACGCCACAGGCCTCCTGCTAGACGACCGAGAACTCACTTCAGCAGATGCACGAACCGATCTCACCACGTGGCCTCCTGCACAGCGAATTCGGTACGCCGAATTCCAGCGACCCAGAGCGTTGCTTGCCTTCTTCGTGGACTTGTACCGCGTCGGCGTTGAACTAACAGCTGACTGCCGACAGTCGAGTGAGTCGGTGATTGCTGAAAGTCTAGAGTTTCGGTTGAGAGCATGGTTTCAATTTTGGTGTGCTTTCAAGGTCATTTCTCGGCAAAACAATCGGAATGTGTGCACTTTTTCAACGGTTACACACACCTATTGGCTGTCTACACCCAGATTATTTGCAAGTACCTCACAGGTACGCAACACTTTGACGTGGATCACGTCTGTCCACGGCTGTGCCTTCCACGAGCTGCGCCGTTGTGGCTGAAGGGTCGCAGCCTCATCGACGACCCAGACATGCTGCTCCTCCCACCCACCAATGAGGCTGTAGACGTGTGCGCGCAAATACCCTTCGCTTTGCCTGGAACCTGCAAGCTCATTGGTCGTGGTGTCTACGACAATGAGTTCAAGTAACGGTTTTGAAAAAAGGTCTACTTAAATTCACTTAGTAGTGATATTTTTTTGTGCTATATTCACAAAAGTGATCACGCTAGAACCAATCAGAAACTAACAAATTGTCGGTTTTTCAGGTGCCAATGCATCAACGCGGCTTACCGTTGGAGGTCAGAGCCTGGCGCGATGGCTATTGGCAAGTTTCCGCGCTGTGAACTGGTTGCCGAATTCGACAATTTGGAAGTCGGAGAGACCATCAGGGTGTCATGCAATACCCCTGAAAGGCTCCATTTCTGCGATCCGATTGGCAGCCAAAGGTGACTTGTTACCAATTTATAAGGCGACCAATAGAATCACGAGCGTCGCACGTTCAGTGTGCGCGTTGATTTAGCCCGTAGAGACATGCTAATTGGCTGGTTGTTAATGGATGTAGTGCTGACTCGCCCTTCTTCTCTCCAAGTTGTTACTACGAGGCAAGTCGTGAGACGATTGGCGCCAACCTCGTCAAGGTCTCTCTCTGGCCGGTATGCGAATGCAGATCCGGTTACAGCGGTGTTACCTGCGAGAGACGACGCGACGTCTGTGAGGACACCCTCGTTCTCACCTCCAGCGACGCTTCAGCGCTTCACGGTTTACTGGGTCTCCCTGAACAGCTGACAGCTAATTGGCTCTGCGACGCCAACCTTGGTGGATCCAAATGTGTGCCTGATGTCCCCTCGCGCAGTAAGCTGATTGGTTGGTCAAAATGAATCCGGGCATAAGTATTTGACCCCGTGCATATCGGTTCTAGGCAACTATGGCTACCGATGTGAATGCCAGCCGGGCGCAGGGCGAGATCCCAGATTCCAGGGTCTGGATAACTGCAAAACTCGGGTTCAGCAAGAATTCTCCAAATTCGGACCTCCAAGTCGCTGCGAGCCTGGGTATGCTGGCGACGACTGCGACATGACCATTAACCCGTGGTCCGGTGTGTTAATTTTACCCACCCGAATTTAAATTTTAAACGTCTGCTTACTAATCATGAGTAGCATTGTTTTTAAGATTGGAGCAGTTGGAGCGAATGCTTCCCCGCCTGTGGTAATCACCGACGGCGTCTGCGTCATCGTATCTGCCTGGGCGACTTTGGGTGCATCGGCAGTACGCAGATGACAAAACGCTGTTCTGCCGTTGAATGCGCGGAGTTTGATGACTCTGATGCCGAAATTCAGGTGCACAATCTGTCCGAATTCAAGGACAACGGTGGATTTTTCATCCCAACTAACAGCGGCATCTTCTTCACTACATTTCTGCTTGTCATTCCAAGCCAGATTGCGCTAATCGCCCTCGTGACATGGTTGGTAATCAAAAAAGACAGAAAACGATTCGGGTTGTAGTCCGGTGCAAATCTTTTTCCAGGTGGGGGAACCGAGTTGTCCTAGTCAATCGACTGGGCAGAAAAAAAACGGCGTCTGACGAAATGGGGGTTGACGATCAATACGTGTTAGGGATGATTGGCGCGTTTCAAGGTCATATTTGGTGAGACAACAAGCCACTACTGTTAGGAGGACACATAACATCTCTATATATGATGAATAAAATAAAAAAAATGATGACAATTTGT